TTTGAAATTTCTGCTTGAAAACATGATTTTGTACAAATTTTCATCTTTCCATTTCTTTTTTCGTCGTATTTTTTGGGTAAAAATAATGAAATATGAAAAATTGATTTGTTATTTAAATGAAAATTTGAAAGAAGAAGAATCTTTAAAAAAAAAGAAAAAAAAGAAAGAAGAGAAGGAAGATAATAATGATTGAGAAAGAAAGATGGAGAAGAACAAAAAAAAAAAAAAAAAGAGGAAGAGGAAAAACGGCCGAGAAAGAGGCAAGTGAGTACATTTCTTAATTCCAAAAAATTGTTATATTTAGTTAGAAAAATTATATTGTCATAGATGGTAAATATTTTTTTAATATAGCATATTTATGTGATTTACCCTATAAATTATATATGTGCATATAACCTATTTTTGACTTAATTTTTAAAAGGATAAAAGTCATAAATATATAATAAGGTAATTTTATTTGCATTAAATATAACCAAATTTTTATTTATATAGAAAAATAGCCCAAAATTAGCAATATATGTACATGCAATAAAACTTGTTTTCAATAAAATAGTCATATGTATATGTGATGTATCAATATGTATATATATAACATTGTATAGATATTATATAAAGAGTAAATTTTAGGTTTAGCAAACATAAAATCATATTAGCGCTCTATAGCTACAGTTTTGCTATTTGCACTCCATAACAAACTATCTTTGCTATGGAGCATCAGATCTGTATAAAAATCACAGGCAACTTTGATTTGTATAAATCGTAGGCATCTGATTTGTATAAATCGCAGCGATTTTTAAAAATCAGGCGTCTGTGAACATTGTGTTTGTATATGTGTATGTTCTTTGTGTTTGTATATCTGCATAAAATTTGAATTCGTATACAATTGAATCGAGTTAAAACAATTGTATTTGTATATCAAATATCTCTCTCTCGCTTTATACAAACACAAACTATACATTGTATTTTGTATAATTTGTGTTTGTATAAAGCGAGAAAGAGAGAAAGGCAAAAGAGAACTGGGTAGGGGAAGATTTGTATTATGTAATTATAAGTGTATAGGACGAAGAGATATGTATTTGTATTTGTATATATAGTTTTCTCTCGCTTTATACAAACACAAACACAATTTATACATTTGTGTTTGTATAAAGTGAGAGAGGCGAGGGAGAGTGGCGAGCGAGATTTTCGGGGAGAGAGGCGAATGACAAAGTGTTTGCTACATATTAGAATTAAATGAAACTGTGGTTATAACATTTAATTTGAATTAATAGTTTGCTATTTTATACAATTTTCCCTTATATAAATAGGGTATACTCTTGTGTAGTTGACGCGATGTATAACTACATATCATAGACATATACACATCTATATACATTGTTGATACAATAAAGGATACATTATATATCGATTTTTTTTCAACCAACTCAAATCTCCTCTAAACAATCCCAAAATTCAGATATGAGTTCTTCTCAATATTTTGAGTTTTTTTATATCGATTTTTTAAAAATCGATCTTAAAACATAGAAAAAGAATAAGGAGAATAAGAAGGAGGAGGCGGAGAAGAAGAAGAGGAAGGGGAAGGCGAATATAAAAGCGCAAATTACACTTTACTTGCAATTGAAAAGTGTCAAATGATCGTTATTGATAAATAACAATTGATAGTGTGGTTATTTTGAGCAAAAAATTATGTTCAAAGGGTCATTTTTTACTTTATTATTTCATTTTAAGACTCGTTTTTGGACTCTTCTTTCATAATAAGCAATTGTCACTGTATAGTATATGAATGTTATCAGATCTCCTCTTTTATACAATTCTGTAATAAGGTAGATTTTTCCAACCTTCAAGAGGTCTATGTTCTCGGATTCACATGGATTTGGGATACATAGCAAATTTCGTTCATCTTTCTCGCCTCTTTTCCATCCTGCTCGTCACTCTCCCATGTATCTAATATCCCAGGGATATACATGCGAATCACTCCAGCTACATGTATCTAATATGTATCTAGTGTGATTCGCATGTATCTAGGATACATACGAATCTCGTTGGCTTCCCTCCCCAATCTCGCTTGCCTCTCTCCCTATTTTTATGTATCTGGTAGCAAAACACAAAAATACATGTATCTAAGTGTATTTTTTTCAATATATGATAAGATACGTTATATTTTGAAAGTATAGGTAATAATAGTACATATACGATAGTGAAGTATGTGTAATTATGTAAAAAATTTCCCTATAAATAAATATTTAAAATATAATATCCCTTCTCCTTTAATTTTGTGCTACGATTGACTCTGTAGACATTACATGCAAGTAGCACCTCTTCCATGTGTGTTTGAGATCCTTTACAAATGATCGATGCAAATTCAAGCATTTAGAAGTCAAATTAATTTAGCTTCCTTTTTACTCTTTCACATTGCTTTCCTTTGTGTTTAAGTGATGTAAGATTCGAGAAAGGATCGCATTTTAAGAAATATTATATAGATTATTTATTTTAATACAAATATTAATGATTATTTCTATGACTTAAATTGTGCTAAGACTCTCCTTATTTTCCTTTAGTGACGCAAAGATATTTTATTATGATTAATTGAGCCACTCTATTTTTAATATAAGAAGAATAACGTTGACTGTTATTAATATTATTATAAAAATAATAAACCAATCAACTGCAAAATGGTGTCTATTTCTAATAAAAAAAAGAATTTAGTAACACGTCTTAAATACAAATGACTTGGTGTAACGTGTCTTATAAACCTTCTTTTTCCCTAAACCTTTTTAAATATATTTTTTTTATTTTGAAATAAATAAAGGCAACGGTAACCTCATATAATATTCCCCTAACAAAATTTCCATCTTTATTTCCCTTTAATAGTGGAAGAGGACGAGATGTGTATTTACGTTTCAATTTACGTGATATATATTTTTTAGTTCATTTAAAAAAAATGTTACTTTTTATATATTTTCTTTTCTCTAGCTTTAGGAAATACTACTTACAATTGAACCTGTAAAAGTTGAAAAATATAAATGAAATTAAAAATATATGTAATTCTTATTGGAGAAGTATAAAGCAAGGAAGTGAAAACAAGATGGGAAAACATTAGACTTTGAATTTACACTAGGTAAGATCCATTAAATATGAAATTTTTTCCATTTCAAAGTCAAATTCGAAACTTTTAATTAAATAGTTCATTTATGCAAACACCCTTTTTAATGTTACTATTTAGATTTTTTCATATATTTTAATTTTTTTTACAAATAATAGCCCTTGAAAAATACCTTTCAGATGTTAGACTCGATCAATCTCTGCCCATATATTCTCAACCTTACATATAAAACATTTATCTGTCATCTAACGTTTGAATAACTTTCAAAATATTAGAACATGATCTAATATTTCCGTACAAAAATTTTAACTCACTCAAAAAAATTCTTTAGATCATAATAAGATCCATAAGTCGTAAGAAAAATAAAAAGATGATCATCTACTAAATAGCCATCCCAAAAAAAGGACTAAAAGTACAACCGGTGAAATTTATTGTGGTTAATAATCACAATCCTTATCTATCTCATCATAAACCTCGATAGTCAGAACCATTGTTAATGTTGCCTATGAAATGTCTTCCCTCTTTTGTTTAATGTGTTTGGGACAGCTTCTTGTCATCATTAATGTTTTGATTAACTTAATCAATTATATATCTCATCAAATTATTAATGATTAATTACATAGATTAACATATGTGTATTCAAATCAAAGTAAAAAAACTGAAGATCTTGTCTAAAACTAATTAATGACCAATGCCCACTAGCTAAATAGGCGCACGAAAAAGCAACTTGAAAAAAAAGCAAGGTACACTTTGAATTGAACTCGGTGAATATATCAATAAAGTAAAAAAGCATTTTCAGTGTAAGGATAATTAGATAGAAATTAAATTGAAGAAATGTAGTAAATTGGGCTCTTGGAATCCAAGTATTAATTAATAATTTTTATGTGCTAAATTAATAAGAAGAATTGTGGTTGGTAATTAGTGATGATATTAAGCTAGACAGGTCTATTTGGAGTCCTCCTGTGATAATTATCATTTTCTAATGCACTTGCCCAACTGGTTGATATGGTCATTTTCAACAAAGAAATTGTAGTACTGTACTTGAAAAAAAAATTAAAATAGATAAAAGTACAAATTTCAATATAATATAAGAAAATCATAGTAGTTTAGTCAGTTGACTATTAGAAATTTTACCTTATTGATAAGTAAGGATTCGATATTTCACCTTGTAATCTCCTCCACCATCCCCATTCCCCTTCCCCTACCCTCGTTTTGAAAAATAACACAAAAAAAAAACAATTTTCAATACAAATAAAATGAATAGACTCAAAAAAATAAATTATGACTATGGTGTCTGAATTAGCTTTCCCCCACTTTGACTAATTTCATAGGATACATATTATCTTCCACCAGCAACAGTTATTAGGTAACTTTGTTACCAAATGAAATATGCTTATATTATTCAAAATAATTTAAATATACCCTACATTTCATGAGTGCACTCGTTTAATTATAACCTTACTATCATATTTTGATACTGATTTATTCTTAATTTAAACGGAGGGACATATATATATATATAGTGGCATCATCACTAGGACCCCTATAATGTGACTTACTGTTGATCCAATTATCTGGTAATTTCTTTTTTTGGTCAGTTACACTAGGACAAAATAAATTAAAAAATTGAAGTTTCATGAGTGGAAGGTACAAAAATCTAATTTTGAAAATTTGAATAAAGATTAAATTTTAAAAATGTAATTAAATTTTATAATTACATAAATAATTAAGAATAAATATATTTATGGATAAACTTATAAAATTTACTCTCAAAATATCTGAAAGGTAATTTAGGAAAGAGAATATTAAGTGTTAGTTGACTAAGATATGGAGTGTATATTTATATATATATATATATATATATATAGATCATTTGTATTGCCAAAAGAAATCAACTCTCCAACAAGAAATATTAATGGCAAATCTAGAGGGAGGAGGAATCAACAACTTAGATGATGAAGAGAAATTGTTGAATGAACCTAGTGGCATCCACCACCACCACCATCAACAAATAATTTCTTTACGTAACGTTGTGAAGGTTTTTCTCTTGTTTATCGGAATTACCCTTTCATCTCTCCTTCTTTATCGCTCTTCTAATAATAACCCTCTCCAATTCTTTCCTGATCACTCATATAAACATGCTCCTTCATTTGCTTCTGACTCGAACTATGTAAACACAAATGGCTCGGCAGCTGGAAATTTGCTTCATGGCAATAATAGTAGGACTGCAAATGTTTCAAAAGTAAGTTTTCTTCTTTTTATTTATATTATTTTGGCCAATAAAGTAATTAGTTATCTCTTCGCGGTCCTTTGAAGTTGTCTGTATCTTTTAGAACTTGAACTTGTTCTTATTAAAAAAATTTACTATTGTGTGTATCTATTAGACATAAATTGCTGGCACGATTGAAATCATGTTTGTGAGTGAATGAACTAAGAACAACTTCAAACAATTCTTCATGATAAAACCTCTTTTGAAAATTAAAAAAATAATACCTAAAACTTCTTGAAAAGATTATACAATAAATGATTATTTCTTTCTCAAATAAATGCATTTACTTAGATAAATTGATGAACGTACGTGCTAATTAAATCCCAATTAATTACAACCAAATCTGAATTAACTTTCATTATCATCCTTAATTTCTTTATATTATTTACTGATTAAGCCATTATTGACACTATGTATGGTTGATAACGTCCTCTAGTTTTAGAAAATTTATCTTCATGAATCTATATATTTGATTCTGCAAAATTGAGTGATAAAAAAAAGACTTTTAAGGTCATTATATTTTTTTTAAAAGTATAAATGTCACATCTATTAAATCAACCAATTAGAAAAAAGTGCTAATAAGAATGAATATTCTTCACGCATTTCCAAAGAAGAATAATATACGTAAGAAAATAAGCAGCCTTTTCAATGTAGCACAAGTTGTTACTCCCTTCCGTTTTAAATTATGTGTTTTATTTTTCTTTTACGTATTTCTTTAAAAATTTGAGTTTTTGATTATTAAATTTTTTTAGTTGTATTGAGATATAATTTTTTATTGAATTTATTTTACTATTGCGATATTTTTAGTCTTCAAGCATAATTACTATGAAGGGTAAAAAAAATTAATTAATTTTGCCATGATTTTAAAATGACAAATAATGTGAGACTTCTAATTTTAAAAATCACCACATAATTTGAGACAGGAGAGTACTATTATTAAAAATCACCTCATAGAGCTTGACTTTTGAAAGTGTTTAACAAATATAAAAATAACTTAAAATAAGTAGACTTGAAATAAGTTAGGAAGTGTTTGGCATGAGGTTAAAAATAACTTAAAATAAGTTTAAAATGACTTAAAATAAGTCAAAAATCAAAAGTAAATCTCCTCCTACTTTGTATTTTTTGACTTAAAAGTCATTTAAGTTTGACTTTTTATTTTTAACTTGAAAACTACTTTTTTTAAAGTCAATCCAAACGGGCTCCATATCAAATCAATTAATCATGCGTAAGAATTGCCAATAAATAATTATAACGAAAAGAAATTGTACGTCTCGTAGACTTTCAAAAATTATATTGAAAGATCTATTTTATTATTATTATTATTATTATTATTATTAATAATAATAATAATAATAATAATAAATGAGCATGCTTTACTATTCCATTGATGAACGATCTTCTCAAATCAATCAATTAATGCTTGAAGAACAAGCTCAAATCAACCAATTTTCTCTTCAATATAAGTCATTAAAAATTATATATATTATAATCCTTCACGCATTCCCTAATTAAGAAGAATAATCTACGTAAAAAATAGCAGACTTTTCAATGTATGGCCCAACTTGTCAATATTCTAGATCAAGTAAAAAATAAAAAATAAATACATAGTAGAATTTCAACATTTATACCAATATGGGTTGTGGTGCAGTGGTGGAACTATTTCACACTTAATCAGAGGTTTCGAGTTTGAACCCTGGGTACGAAGAAAATCATGTTGTGAACGTCATCCCCAAATGGTTCTGCAATGCGCGATCTGAATTTTGTTAGGACTCTAATATGAATTCTGAACACCGGGTGGAAAACCAAAAAAAAAAAGAATTTCAACATTTATATTGGAAGATCTATTTTTAAAAATATTAAATGACAATGCTTCTTATTTCCTTGACGAAATCTCTCTCTAACTGTTTTTATTAATAACTAGAATACATTTCACACCCTAATTTTTAATTTAAGAGAAATATCGTCTCTTTCTTTATTAGTGGAATAAAATTCAACTAACTATGCTATTGTTGTACATAATTATTAATTCTAGGGATAAAAATACCGCTCTAAGCTCATGTAGTTTATGTACAAAAGTACATTAGATAGCGTATATTTTATTGTAAATCTTATGAAAAATATTTGATTACAAAATTTATAGAGAATTTCTTCAAAGTTTGAGATGTGTCAAAGATATTGTTCTTAAGAATATTTCACCCAATATATAAATATATCCCTCGAGATTTAACAAATTCTTCTAGTATAAAACTACGAGCACATATTATAACAAAGATTAACAGAATGAAAACTAAACACAAGATAATATAGGAGGAAGGATTATACTTCATCTTCTATGTCTAGGAAAGTAAATCCAAAGAAGATTATACAACCAATAATAATGGACAAAAAAGTTTGTTTGGGTTGATTTATTTTAAATATTTCTAAGTTAAAATATATTGTAAGTATTTTGGATAAATTTTAAAAAACTGATTATAATTAGCACTTTTTTTATGCCAAAAATCATAAATTAGAAATCTTAAGTTATAATATTTAACTTATGAATCAAAAGTAATAAGCCCGTCCAAACAGACTCTTTTAACATTCTGATGTAGCAAAAGACTGTCCCCACTCCCAATTAACATTGAAGAATAATTTATTGCGAAATTCCCAATGAAGAATTAAATTAAAGAGTATTTATCTTAAAGAGGGCTAAGCCATTAAGGCTAATTAAATGTAGTCAAACGAATGGAATGCAAGAATTCCAATTTATCTATCAACTCTATTTAGCAAATGACAAATTAAATAGAATTTATTTTTGAGATATAAAAATTATTTTTCTAACATACATTATATCCATTAATAGTGTATATATTATGTATATTTTGATTATATTAGTAAATTAGTTGGTCGAACTGTACATACCTAACGAGTCACCAAAGTTAATTTTAAGTATTTATTAAACTATGAGATACGTCAATCTCACAATGTGACTTCCCCAATAAAATTTATTTTTTTAATGGTCCTGGATTTTTGAAACGGACCACAACTACAAAGATGTCTATATTTTACACAAAAAAGTAGCAGAAGAATTTTCCAAAATTGACTAATAGCAAATATTTAGGCCACTATATATTCAATTATTATAATGTCTTCTTCAAATACAACTTGAAATCTTTTGTCATATTGCCAGCTGCTAATTACCAAATAAAATTTCCAAAAATTAAACGGCCAACCATATTTGACAGGGCATTATTGTAGACTGAAAGTAAAATGGACATCCACATTGGGTTGAGATGAAATGATGGATCAAATATCTTATATTTAGCTGTAGTTTGGTTATAGATTTTGAAATTGAAATTTAACGCCTCATATAAATTGTTTAATATGAGATTATTTTTTAGCTCGTTAATTCCGAAAATTTGAGTTTTAAAGTTATGTTTGAATATGCTTTTTACTTGAAAAATATTTAAATTTTTGCAAGTGAAGTGAACTTTTTCCTAAAAACATGAAAATATTTGACGGTCATAATCTGATCAAATTTAATGGTCGAACAGATATTTGAAGATAAATTTTCAAAATTTGATTCATAATCTATTGTCAAACACTAAATTAATTGGAGTTTTTCGATTTGAGCTCTGTATATGAAAAAATCACAATAGAGAGCTATTTGGGTCATTTGCACTTTTGTCACTATTTGGTGTTGGTTTTTATTTTTTTGTCCCTCAAGGTAAATAACTTTATTTTAGGGTACACGTTTATATTTTTTTAATTTCGCATCATAATATTCCACAAATTATGTCACGCGTCTTATCAATATGTATATAGTTAGGTCACTTTAGCCAAACTTAGTAATTGTCATTGATCGAAATATACAAATCTAACAGTCATTATGTATATTATATGTATAGGTATGCATATTCTAGGTACATTATGTATATATAGTACATGGATACTTATACTTAAATTTAGAGAAAATGATCAAAATGGTCCTTAATATATGGGTCTTGAATATTCTTGATCTTTTATATATATTACCTTACTAAAATAGTCCTTAATGTATATAAAAATATGACCATTTTGGTCTTTAACCCTAAAACTAACTATACAAGTGATACTTTAGTTAAACTTAACGGTGGGTCCCACATATTTTTCTCTCCATTACCCTCCTTCTTCTTCTTTTTAAAACCAAAATTTCAAATCTCAAAGAATATTTTAAGATTCTATTTTTCACCTTTATCCATTCCGTTTTCACCCTTTAATGTCAACAGCGAAATAAAAAACAAATACATAAAAAAGTTATTAGTCTTGAAAAGAGTTTACTTATGGAGATCTCCTAAAAGAGAAATGGAGTGTTTTATCTAATTTACTTAGTTCATATTTATTTTAATGGATCGGATTTTTTTTTTGTCTAAAAATGGGAGTTGTTGGGGATTATTATTTTAGAGGGGAACTAACAAATGAGTGTAGTGGGTGAATTGAAAATGGAGCATCCCCTCTAATGGTGGTGAAAGAGAGAACTGAGGGAGAAAAGGATAATTTTGTGCTACCCACTGTTAAGTTTAACAGAAATTTTTCACTTGTGTGGTTAGTTTTAGGTTGAGGATCAAAATAGTCATCTTTTTGTATACATTGAGGACTATTTCAATAAGTTGATATATATATAAAGGACCAAAAATCTCCAACTCTCATATATTAAGGATCATTTTAATCGTTTTCTCATATACACAATCTATAAATTCGACAAATATTTTTAAAACTAAATCACTCAAAGACATCGACACATTTTATCCCAAATATTTATTATAACGGACCTTGTAACTAACAACAACATACTTAATAAATCTCACAAAGTAGAATCTAAAAAGGATAGAGAGAGTATGTAGACCACGACCTTACTTCTTCTCATAGGTAGAGAGACAGTTTTCAAGCCTTGTAATTTAACTAGAAAATTCATTTAAAATTTCTTCACATTATTTTTAAATCATTAAAAAAATATGTGTATATTTTCATTCAGGATAAGAAGCAAAAAAGCAAGTTAGAGGAAGTGTTGGAAAAAGCAGCAATGGGAGACAAAACAGTGATAATAACAACATTAAATGCAGCATGGACAGAACCAAACTCAATCTTTGATGTTTTTTTGAAAAGTTTTAGAGTTGGGAACCAAACAACATCACTATTGAAACATGTTTTAGTTGCATGTTTGGACCAAACAGCATATTCAAGATGTTTGGAGAAAAAACAAGTTCATTGCTATGCACTCACTACAAAAGATGTTGATTTCTCTGGTGAAGCACATTTTATGAGTGATGATTATTTGAAGATGATGTGGAGAAGGATTGATTTTCTAAGAAATGTTCTTGAGATGGGATATAACTTCATTTTCACAGTATGTACTCTTCCCTTCACTTTATCATTAACATTAGTAGTCACTAAATTTCAATAAGACACTTGAATTAAGACTTATTTCAATTGTTGTCGCTGAATATATTATAAAATATTCCTATAAGACTACATTTCGATTCAAATTTTGAAAAAAACAATACTTAAAATGTGTCATCTCCTTTAATTATACGCATCAGCTTCAATAAGAATAAATTTGTAGTTTTATGACTTATTGAGGTTGATGCATATAATTAAAGGAGGTGACATATTTTAAGTAGTTAACTTGTTCACGTAATGGACAAATGAGAACACGCGCAAAAGCTTTTTCAAAATTTGAACCGAAAGTGTCTAATGGAAATACTTCATCATATGTTCAAGTGTTCAATTGAAACAAGCGTAATTTGAATGTCTAAATGAAATTTACTAACAAATATAAAGAGTAGTCTATGTATTAAATCTTAATAGTTTTACTTCTATGTATACAAACCATGAAAGAAAATCATTAGACTGTCATATCACCAAAAAAATATATATACTAATAATTCCTAAACATAATTAGTGAACTAGGTAACCAAAAAAATTACCTCAAAGTGGCTTCAAGAACATGTCATCCATTATGAGTGTGATGGTATGGAGAAAATGCTTTTCAATTGTCTGGTTGGTCAAAATATTTTCTCTAGAAAAATAAATTCCTTAAAAAATGAGGAAAATGATTTTTCTAGAAAAAACAAGTTTCACCAATATCGTCTCACATCGATTTTATTTCTACTTTGGGAACTATGTGTGTGTATTGCTTTATATAATAATAATGCTAGCTATAAAAGGTTTTTTTTTTGTGTGTGTTTGTCGATTTAGGATGCTGATATATTATGGTTTCGACAACCATTTGCACATTTTTACCCGGACGCCGATTTCCAAATTGCTTGTGATCATTACTGGTTTGACTCAACAAACTTGGACAATTCACCAAATGGAGGTTTCAATTATGTCAAATCAAATGAACGTACCATTCAATTTTACAAATTTTGGTACAAAGCAAGAGAGGCTTATCCAGGAAAACATGATCAAGATGTGCTCAACATGATCAAATACAACCCATTCATCAAAGATATTGGATTGAAAATTAGGTTCTTGGATACAGCTTTTTTTGGAGGATTTTGTGAGCCAAGCAAAGATCTTAATCTTGTTTGCACAATGCATGCAAATTGTTGTGTTGGAATTGGTAATAAAATGCATGACTTAACTATGGCACTTGATGATTGGGAAAAGTATATGGCTTTGAATGGTGATGAAAAGATGTTAAGGCCACAAACTTGGACTGTACCAAGAATATGTGGTTAAATATAATTCAGTACTTAAAAATACTTTCTTTCTTCTAGTTATTTGTGGTTCATGCAAGTGTAAAATCCATTGTATGTTACCTTTCTGTCTTTTTTTTTAATTGGTATTTTTCTTTCTCTTTTTATTTCCTTTTTGAGTATTTTTTTTCTTCCTATAATAACATATTTTATACTATTAGATCATATAACTTGTCTTATGTTCAAGCTAGCAAATTGCATTTTTTTTTTCAGGGTATCTTCTGAATTTTGATTAATCCAATTCTCTTATAGCTTATTTGGGTGGTTGTTACTTATTGTATTGTGTTAGCTTAGATACGATGTTTGTTTTGATTGCTACTTAAATTTTATCATATCATTAAATTTGTCATTAGGTAATAACAAAGTCTCATTTTGTGTAATGACCGATTTGATATGTAATCGTGTTGTCACCTTATTTTATCCTTTACAACTTCATATATCTTCATCACTGTCATATTGTTGACAGTTCTACACTTGAAAATGTGATTTAACAAAAAACTTGAAGAAAACACAAGATGTCATAATGAAACCAACATTCATTTTTCGAATAAAGAAAAGCTGAATGTATTTACATCATCCAAGATTTACAAATGTCAGCTTTCCTAACAGGGGCATCATCTGTGCCATCCCACAACTGTGCTCCGCTATAAACTATTCTATGTCAATGGAGTCCAAAAATGTAATTCCCTGTCTAGAATTATCACGAAAAATAAAAACGAAAACAATATAAAATAGGAAAAAGAGAACTACCTCTAATCGTCAAAATTGTGGGCAGACTCAAAGAATGTACACTTTGTACATGGAACGCACAGCTGCATCATCTCATCACTACCTTGTTCAGCATACTCCAATGCAATGTGTGCGGAGAAATAATTAACCATTAAGCTTTGCTAAGAACTGGCCCAGGTTATACTCCTCTGTGTATTGTGACTGATCCCAAAGCTCCTCCAATCCTCCGAGAATGGCTTTCAATCCCTTCCCACTACGTGGCAAGATTGAGTCCACGTCAGACTTTTCATCAGTTCTTTTGGATCTACCAGCTCCCTGAGAATATTCGGCATTTGTAAGTTAAATACCATACATGCATCTCAAATTCTAAAGGAATAGAGAGAGATTATAGATTCAAAGCTGAGTGCTAAATCACCTTTTTGCTTTCAGCCGAAGTAAATAGATCAAGTAACTGATCTGTATTCATCGTTTTCAAACTTGCATTCTCTGAATTGATCACTGCATTGGCAACAGACACTTTGAACCTTTGGAGACTCATTACTTTTTCTTCCAAGGTTCCTCGCATAATGAGACGATGAACATTTACAACTTTTCGCTGGCCCAACCTGTGAGCTCGATCCATAGCCTACAAAAGGATATAAATAAGTTATCCTGCTTTTCCATATCATCTTGAGCAAGCAGGACATGAGAAGATTCAACAAGAAAGAATGCCTGACTAGATAAACGCAGCAGAACATCAACAACTTGCAATATATTAACTCCACATCTAACAACCCAACATAGATATGTATTATCTGCAAGAAGTAAATCAATATCCAAGATAACCATAAATTTGGCAAATATGTCCGTATTGTCTTAAAATTTAGGATTGATAAGTACCAAATCCTCAAAAGTAACACCAAAAACTAATCAGCATCATTTAAGACTAATTTTACAGTAACAATGAATAGGGCAACTGTTTTTGCCTTTGTTGGAAACTGAACCTGAGACCTCATGGGTCTCCACACCCCTTGGGTTCTTTCTAGTTTATCACTTATTCTATTAATAATATTGTTTCCACTATTGTGATTAAAATTGGGAGGTAGATTACCAAATTATTACGTATGCTCGATAAGTCATTCTTCAGGCATGGGAGAAGTAGGGATATGGATGGATAGCAAATAACAAATAACCTCCATACTTAATCACAGACTTGGTCTTGCCATCTAAGAAGAACACCTAAAATAAATAAGAACTTGAATAAACTCTCTCCCTCCTTACAATAATCCAGGGAAATTGATAACCAAAGAAACAGTGAAACAAAGTCAAGCAAGAGGCAAGAAACACATAACCTCGACATAAGATCCAAAACTAGTTGTAGAGAGAGAAAGAGAAACTTTCTCATAACACATTACCTCGACATAATATCCAAAATTAGTTGTAGAGAGAAAGAAAGAGAGACCTTCTCATACCTTACCTACCATGCAAAATTTCCCCCCATTCCCCAAACCACAAAAGGAAACCAAAACCTAGTGATTGTAAGTACTTTTTGCCATTACTGGGCTAAAAATGAGCCGAAGAATTATGTGGCTTATGGTTCTGGACAATATTCAGGGGAAAAAACTGCAAAGAAAAGGCTAAATCTCTATACCTGGTGATCTCGCATTGGATTCCAGTCATGCTCCATGAACACAAGGGTATCAGCTGATGTCAGGTTCAAACCAAGCCCACCAACTGCAAGAAGTATTTGTACATGAGCACAAGTCTTCAACTGTATTACAACCATGCCAAAATGTAGAATCATACCATGTGTAGTAAGCAATAAAACGTCTATAGTAGGATCCGAATTGAAGGCTTTCACAATGTCAAAGCGCTTTTCTGGTTCAACTGACCCATCCAGCCTCAAGTAAGTAACACTGCTCAAAAAAGGATGAAAATCTCTTTAGCCACTGAGTTTCAAAGCATAAGGAACGGACTCAAATACTTCAAGGCAGCGTTTGATTAAAGTAGGCACATCACTGATCCTCTACCTGTTTTTTCCAGTTCCAAGACCTTCGCATGTGCACTAGCAAAACTATTAATTGTGAAAGTCAATATATGGCATACAAAGTCCAATTTATATCCCGAGACGATCTTGAATACCAAAAATGACTGGAAGTTAACAAAAGAATTTCCAGGTGCGACAGATCATAGAAATTGCTTACATGAAGGTCAGAACTTTCCAGGTTTAACAAAGTAACATGGTAGAAACTGTATGATATTTGACTGAAGTAGTAGCTCATTTTGATGAACACAGTCATGACTTGGAACCAGCTAGAGTCAAAAACATAATAAAACTCCAATTAAACAAGAAAGGCTAAAATCATAAGCGGACCCCTAAACTTGTCTGCATCTTTTATTTTGACACCTCAACAGACATTTTTTCCTCTTAGACACTCCAACCTTAACACATATGTACCTATTAAACAGAAAATGACCACTGGTCCAAATAACACAGCACATACAACTCACTATCGGGAAGTGTGGCAAAGGAAAAAATGAAATGATGACACGTCGCATAAAGGCCTAAAAAAGTTGTCAGAAAATTAATTTTGAGTTAAAAAAAAAACAATTTACCAAATTAAAAAAATATTTCAACAAAAAAAAACGAAATCCTATCCACCCAACTTTACCCTTCCTCCCCATCAGAATCGCCCCTCCCTTCTTCCCTATCAGTGTCGCCCCTTCCCATTGACATCCCCCAAGCCACCTAATTTTTTCCCCAGGTCTTCCCCTCCCCTTCTTATTCCTCCCCAAGAATCTCTTTCTTCTTCATCCACCATCTAAACCTGTCACCGGGCCACCATTGAAATGTTAGCGTACATCCTTTGGAGTTCTTGTTGATAAAAATTCATCGACGGAGGTTGAGAATGCAAACTTAATGAAAAATAGAAGTGATCCAATGAATTTTCATGGAGAAGAAGTTACAATGGAGGTGAACGGTTGCTAAAAAATGGTGGTCTCTGGTAGACTTGAAAGAAGAAGAAGGGGGAAACTATTTTTTTTAAATATAAATGAGAAAGAAGAAAGAAGAAGTAAATTGAAAAATAACACTATATGACTATAACAGTGACACATCAACGCAAGGTGCTTAATAGGTACACATTTGTTAAGATTGGAGTGTCTAATAAGAAAAGAAGTCTATTAAGGTGTAAAAATGAAAGATGTGGACAAGTTTAAGGGGCTGCTATGACTTTAGCCAACAAGTTTATGGGGCCGCTTATGTCTTTCTCTCCCAGGCACATATATCGAACAACTTATATGACTTTAATCTTATGATTGGCTGAAAATTTATTTCCAGTATAAGCAATCCCAGAATTTATACCACATTATTATTTAATCATCCTGTTATATTAAGGCAAAAGATCATGGCGAAGAAAATGACAGAAGATGAAGATTTCGCTGGAGAAGACTTTTGAGATAGCTGGTATTGTAATTATTATGTTCTTTTGGAGGATGGAGAACTTGTCCAAACGGGAGAAAGACAAATGAGCTTAACTTCCATTAGAATTAGAAATGGATACATAACTTAACAAAGAGACGTTCTATTTAAACTCACAAGGAAAGAAGAGAGGAAAAGGTCACGTGATTAAACTTGCGTTAAGAATGGATAGTAAGAATTAACAGAGGGATGTTTTTGGTCAAATTTGAAAAACTTGAAAGGCTGTTTTCAGTTGATTGAAATATTGTAAGGATGAAGTTCAAGTTTGGGTGAAACAAAAGGGAAAATTTCGGTCAAACACTCTTTCTTTCTTATGTATTCCTCCAAAAAAAAATGTTAAGTGAATATCTAAGTTGCTCAGACTTGGGTGCAGGTGTCCGATATAGGTGTGGATCTAGACGTTGGATCCTTCATGATCTAAATTTTAAGACTTGTGGATACGGATGCGGGGATTCGGCTAAAAATAATTCAAATATCTAAACGTAGAGTTATACTAAATTATGAGATATTATGCGGAAAGCTTGAGGAAAAAATATTGGTAAGAGGAGAATCCTGAAAGGAGATGAAGGAAAAGGAGTGACACCGAAATTTCTATATACAATGTATTCCATTTTTCATTCAATTTCACCTTAGCTTTTGTTTTATTACAGAAACCATTGCATCTATCCGGAGTTGCTCCGTCGATTTAGGTCAAAGTACCCAAAATCAGTTGATCAGATCGGGTATGGATCCCACATCCACACCCATGTCATGTCAACACGGGTGTGGCACTGAATGTGAAGAGTCCGAGCAACTTAGGTCAATATATAACCTATTT